TACATTCCAAAGTCAGTGTGCAGACAACTTCAGCCTTTAAACAAGCCAAGAGAACTCTTGGCGCTTGGCACTTTACTCTTGTGGGTCCTCCTGTGCTGTTTCCTGGGCACTTTCAGGCTGCTCAAGTATCATTCGGTGAATTACTCCTTCAGGGCACTAACTATGCCGACTTTGATCTCTCTTTTTTAATGTACAGTTTTTGTATGTAAATTTCAAACCTTAAAAGACAGTTTCCCGGAATGGCATCCAAGAGATCTTATAGCCTGAGGATACTAAAACTATTTCTTGGGAGAACGATGCCGCCAAAGATAAATCTCTAAGTGTCTTTCTCTGGCTACAGGTTTTATGATCAACCCAGGCTGCTGTGAAGAGACCTAAAAATCAATGCCTCTCATTCCTAATGAGACCCTTAATGTGCAGCGTGATGACAGCCAGCGTGAAATCAAATACTGACAACTATACCCAGCACAAATATTTTTACTATGCATTTCAATTTAAACACGTGTCGAGCCAATTACATATTTATGGGGTTTAAAGACTATTCCGCTCAAGCCTTGGATAACACGCACTCTTCAAATCTCGGTTTAGTAGAGGAATTTGGTCCAATGGTCAGACCTCTCGCAAGTCTGTAATAAATCATCTTTGCAACCATAAGCATGTACAGTTGACTGCTTACCACTGCTGCACAGGCTCCCCCCCACCTGGTAGAATTTTAATTCCCTCAGTAAAATTGATTCCACCGGTTCTGCACATTATTCTCCCTGTCTTCCATTTAGCCCGTTAGTTTGCTGACAGTAGAGTACACAGCACTTAGCAGCTGGTTTGTGGAACCATCAGTCAGGAAATTGTATGATAAATAGGAGGTAGCCAGGCTTAGTGGCACTTCCTTCTGCTTCAGCAGTTTTCGCCTGACTTTGGAAAAGTCATCATGTGGTGTTTTGTCAAGGGCCAGAACAGGAGATGGCTGCAGTGCGGTAACTTATTACACATACTCTTGAGTTATGATGCTCCGCAGCTGCGCTGCTCATGTGTAAATAATAAACCGTGAGGTGGATAATTATGGTGGCTGCTGGCGACACGGGCCTGGTCTTGTCATGTGGGTTTTCTTGGACAGCTTCTGGGGCCCGTAATGGAATGTGCTGCTGGTCTTCCGCACAGAAACAACAGCCAAGATGCAAGGGAAGCACTCAACGTTTGAGGGTGCGGGAGGTTTTTTTTTTTTTTGAGAGATGTGTTAGGATTAATGTCATGTGATGCCACGTATGTTAGAGAACATGCTCACACTGCTTTTTACTCCCTGTTTATAATGTTAAGCTGTGCTCAAACATGTCTTGAATTGGACGAGGGCTATTCCATCACGTTTTCCCAGAAAGTGACTTAAGAGGTGTTATTTCCACTGATAACTGACCCCGGGTATAATTGTTCGCACAGACTTCATCAGTCCAGCAGAAGTTATTTTAAACTAAATTGAGAGGGAAACAAATAGAAATAGTAAAACAGTTAAACAAAAACCAGATGTCTTTGCTCAAATCTAATCACATCCATTTATTTTTCCTTCTTTATTTAACCTAATTCCAGAATGCAGAAGTCATACATTTCCTTGGGACATAAATAAATACTTTGTACCGTGTTACAAGATGCATCACATACTTTCAGTCAGAATTAATTTATTTTATTAAAAATATTTTATTTATTTCTTTATTGAGGAAAATTAGCCCTGAGCTAACATCCACCGTCAATCCTCCTCTTTTTGCTGAAGAAGATGGGCCTTGAGCTAACAGCTGTGTCCATCTTTCTCTACTTTATATGTGGGACGCCCGCCACAGCATGGCTTGATAAGCTATGCGTAGGACCGTGCCCGGGATCTGAACCGGTGAACCCCCAGCCGCCAAAACAGAGCATGCGGACTTAACTGCTATGCCACTGGGCTGGCCCCCGGAATTAACTTTTAATTTCACAAAACACTATAGACTCAGCAGTGAGAAATGACTACTAAATGCCATGGTAATGGTGTGTTTTATATTTTCCTCTCAAATATTTTTGCAATGCTTGGTCATTTTCTCTTTCATTCTGAAAGAAAGAGAGTGAATTAAAGACCTGTTAATTTTTTGAGACTGAAAAGATGACAGTGCCTTTCAAATGTCTGTGCTAGCCTTGCGGGTTTTCCCTGGGAAAGAGATTTTTGTCCTGCTTGGGTTCACGGATTTGATTTTATAGAATTAACTGGTTGGTCTTCACCCCTGTGTACGTAACCACTGCGGCTTCACTATAAATACTCATGTGAAGGATAGTGCCGATTATTTCCTGGATACATGAGGTATATATTGAATGTGGAATAAATTCACACATTTTGAGCCCTGTCTGTATGAAAAATACGGATTTGTGCTTCATCGTAATTCTTAGTTGCACCCACGTATAGAAGTCAGATACAGCGAACACCCACTTATCGGTGGAGAAAATTTAATCACACAGAACACAGCCAAGAGCCAAAAAGTAGAGAAGCAGAAATGTCTTCCAACTCTGACATAGTTGTCACAGTGTCCCTTGAAATGGCCATATAAGATGTGTGTGGGAGAAGCCCTGAGGACGTAGATCACACTTTATGAATGCTTAATTTACGCACAGTTCTAGTAGGTTTATTTCTGCAATTTCCAAGAGTAGATGACATGTGTAAAGTTTGAAGTATGCTGGAGGCTAGCGTGTTCGCATCGGCAGTGACCACTAATGGGAGAGGAAGAGAAAGAAGAGCCATTCCCGTGTCTGATGGCTGTCCACCTTACCCCAGACTCCAGTCTGATTCTCTGGGGCCTGTTTTAAAACCTCAAGGCAGAAGCATTCACTGAGTATGCGTCAGACTTTCAAACTAGCGAAAAAGATTACTCAATTTTATATTGTTAATAAGGATGAACCATTTTCATTGAAAATGGTTAAATAAAGTCGAACGTTTTGGCTCTGCGGGGTTGCTGAGTTATGTGGGACACTGAATTTGACAATGGTGTTGGATAAACTTTCGAACTTAGCCCACCAGCTATCAAGATTCGCATTACAAGGAAACCACCTCTGGCATCCTTTTAATGTTAAATTCTAAGTGGAGCACTTAAAATAGAATTGAATTTTTCATCTGAACTTTATAAAATGTATAAAGTGTGATAAAGGATCAGCTAGTTGTTATACCCATCACCTGTTGAATTTCCAGCATCGTTGTCCATCACGATGTCACAGTGACAGTGATGTGACAACACCAAGAGGATGCCTTTCCTCCCTCTCTACCACCCCCCACCCCCCTTTATCTTACAACAAGCACGAAATACAGTGAGCAATTGACCTTTTCAGATAATACTCCTCTTCTACTCACAGAAATGTTCTAGGTTCTACATCTGGTAGAACCACAGCTTTGGGTACATCCTTCGTTCCATCGATGCTACGAATAGTTTTTCACTCATTTTTTTCTCGTGACTGTACTCTTCAATTCTCAAGCGAAGGCAGCAAGGGCAAAGCACAAAACAAGGGAAGTGAAACATAATTTTTTTTTAAGTTTTGTTTACATTCTAAAAGATACTTGAAGAAAATTTGGAAAAAAGAGAAATGTATAGGGAGGAAAATGAAACCACCTGACTTCAACATACACACATGTACTAGTCACGCTTAAGGAGCTTAAGGAAATTTACAGGGGGAGTGCCTGTTACACCCTCCTTGCTTTTGGCACAGCCCCTCCCACCGCCTTCTTCCAGCCTTCGCTCAGAATCGGTTTGCGGTGCCTCCTTTGGAATTGTCTGGACCGCTGCTCCCCTCAGGTCCAGGCAAAATCTTCAGACTTTTAGAAATAGCTGGAAGCCGTTCTGAGGCACGTTTGGTGTACACACCAGTTCCTGGGAGTGTTTGGGGCAACAGCGGCCTGATGGCCACGTGTAAGCTGCCAGGACCACCGCGTGTGGAAGGTGGTGTTTGAAGAACGAGTTCGGTGTCTTTGCTGTAACACGAGGCTCATAGCCGTGGAGTCACACCTCCAGGTTTTGGACTCCTTTATTTTGCTCCTTGACACTTGGGAAAACTTTAGCGCCCGTTCTTCTAATGATAAAATCTGGAGATACTCTCAGTTTTTGCCGTGAATTACTATTTAGCAAAAAAACTTTGTTTTCAAATTTGCCAGAGACGTTCTGTGTAAGTTATTATGAGTGAACAGGAGGAGAGGAGCTATTTTAAGTGAGCGCACACACAGGAACCCGGGGTCGTTGAACACCAGCCAGAGCCAGAACGGGGGGAGGCAGGTCTGGGTCCAAGGCGAATGTTAGGGATGTGGGGCAGGGCTCCCTCAGTTTGCGCCAAACCTCCCTCTGTCTGTCCGAGAGGGTTAGCTCATCTCTTCCAGCCAGGCCGTGAAGCATTTCTTTGGCCCAACTGTGGATTTGCTGCCCTTGTGTCGGGACTCTGGAGGCCTAACTCAGGCCAAGAAGGAGGGGAGCATGCATTGAAATGTTTAAAAAGTGTGTGTGTGTGTGTAGTAAGTATGTGGTTGTATATGCCGTGGATTTTAGCAGGGACTTCAGCAAGGACTCCTTCCCTTAAAAAGCATCATGGATATGGGAGAAAAGAAAGTAGTATTTATGTTATGGCTTTGTTTAAAATTCACTTGACAGTATAATTTTTAAGCTAAGTAAGTGTCTTGTAATCTGTTGCTCTTGGTTTTGTGGCTCCTTCAGCCCTTCCACTCGGGCCAGGCTTTCTTCCAGACTAGGTGGATGTGTTGTTCCTCTTTCTTGCTTTTCTGTCCGGGTTTTAGTTGCATTCAACAGCTCTGCTTTCTCAGGTGCGGGTGTTGTTTACTTGATCATGCATCTGCGGTGCCTCCTGGAGCCTCATAATGAACTTTAAAGAGTTCCTCCACAACTTCTTGAAGCAGATTCAGTGTCAGTTGTGACGATAGCATAGCGGGGTTGCTTCGTGGATTGGAATTCTGTTTCCAAGTATTCCGTTTATACAGTTTGAACTTTCTTTTTCAGATCCTCCTCATCTTTTTCCTGCATTCCATCCTCCTGTACCCATTGATGCGAGACATCATGAGGGGCGTTACCATTACGATCCGTCTCCGATTCCTCCGTTGCATATGTAAGTACTAAAACTTTACCCATTAGTGACAAAATACTGGCTTTTATTCTCTCAGGATTTCGTGCTAACGGTATGGCTCCTGAGCTTTGAAGAGGCGATAGAAGTCTAAGATTTACTTTTGAAATACAGCAGGCCTGTTTGTTCCTGGGCTCACTGAACCGAATCCCGCTGCCTCCTGAAGAATGCCTGTCACACTAGGTGGCTGGCAAGTATTTCCTGTATATTTTGCTGACGTGTGTTCTGTGGGCTGTAAATACTAAATTAAAAGGTAGAGGCCTAATGCAAGGTTACCATTCAGAATACGCGTTTGGTTTGAGAGTGGGTTTGACGTTTTTCAGGCTGAAATTTCTGTTAGGTGAAAGTCTTGTCCCAGGAATCACAACGAATCATAATGAAATTTTTATGGTAAATTTTCATAGCCGCCGTGTACGTACACCAATAATCGTTTGATCGATGGCAACGTCACCCAAACAAAATGGCAAATGTGATTGAGCACATGGTCTGCACAAAGATAAAAGGAAAGAATGGCTGTGATAACATACATTAGAAAGGGGAGAAGAAAATCTCGTGGAAATAAATACTGTTCAGTTTGGGAGGAAAAAGAATAGCGGACTTGCAAACTAAAGAAGTATTCTTTCGTAGTACTGTCCAGAAAACTGTCGTGTACTGTTATAAGTGGAGCCGCTCTCTGGGAAGGGCTGTCCCTTACTAATGGCCTTGATATATACATGTGTTCGGATCTAGTAATCAACCTTCCTTCTGAGACAGTAAAGTTAGAAAAGCACAAGTAATACTTTGAAGAATAATGCTTGTTATTTAGATGGTAGATTGCATCTCCATGGCTATTAGTTACAGCTGTGTAATTACATATATGCCAAAGAAAAATGAAGTTGTTTTAAAACAAGTCCTCCTCTGTGAGCAGAATTAATTGATATTAACAACCCTAACTACATGCCCAAGTACACATATAATATTTTACCAACAGTTTTCTGGATCCATCTCCCATTACTGAATTGTAATTTCAGAGCAGATTTGCCCGGAGGTAAGTAATAAATCTGTGTTGCAGACTTCTATAAGCATTAAAGGAGAAGTGGGTATTTATAGATGGAGAATACAGAAACTTGTGACTTATTCTTCGACTTTTCACTGGAACACAAGTAAGTATTTACAGGGTTCTAAAGCCTGCTAAAAATACACTCAGATAAAACCAAGAGGCCAATTTAAAACCCCCTATGCAGAGACAAGGAAATTCCAAATTCAGGCTGAAACCTGCCATGTCATTCACCCCATTGCGCAGAGGTTTTGTGATCCAGATGGGACCATAGGGGTCTCAGACGAGCATCTCTGCATCAGACGAGCCCTGTGGTACAGAGCCAGCAAGGGCTAGCGTGGCCTTGGAGACACAGATGGCTGATTCCTCCCAGGCTTTGGACTCTGCAGTGATGTGGTCGTTTAAATCAGATTTTCCATAGAATTTCAGAGTTCTTCACTCTTTCAAAAGTCACGTTATAGAGAAATTCCAAAAAATGAGTTTATATGATGGAGTGAACCAGTTCCTCTGGGTTCGTTATAGTTTGCCTTGTCATTAAATTTAAATATGAATTTATCCATAAAAATCCCTGGTCTTGGTTCTTTGGCAGAATATAACAACAGCAAGCCCTAATATAGTCCACACTGTGTTATAGTCCACACTGTGTGTTCTAGGCCCTGATGGCTGTACCTGCACTGTTAGCTCTCTAGTGATAAGAGCATCACAGGGTAAGACAGGTCAAGTTTGGAGAATCATGGGGGAGGGGCCCGCCTTTCAGATATGATTGCTGAGCTGGGAGTGTCACAGATTTTAGTACTTCCTGCTTTTCCAGCCGAGGATACTTTAACAGAAATTGGCTAGACTATTCTCTAGCTGCTTAAATGTCTAGTTATCGAAGATTCATGATGTAAGGCTGGTTGATAATCCTGAGCCTCAAAAGAGGAGTCCTGGAAGGTTCTGAGAGCGAATCTCATTTCTGTGGTGAGTCTGCTGAGCACCTGGGTCTGGGACTGCTGGTCCTCACGGGGTCCTGGATGGAGACCCTGAGCTTCTGCACTAGGTTCGGGGAGCTGGGGCAGGTGTCACCTCTGTGCCTTTCTAGCATCACATTCTCTCTGCATGGCCCTCCGTGGCCTTCCCTTTCTGCATGGCCAACTCCTGCTTCAACCCCTCACCCTCACGGCCTCCTTCAGCTGTCACCTTTGCTGGCGGTCCCAGAGGCTCATCCTCAGAGCACCTCGCTTGTGCCTTTGTTGTAGCACATAGCCCCTTGCCCGGTCATTTCCTGGTTAGCACTCGCTGCCTTCTGCCAGTTTTGTGGACAGTGCCCAGCACTGGGCCAGGCACTTTGTAAAAGGTGCTCTGTAGATGCGCACATCCTCTAGTCTGGGAGACAGTGGAGAGCAGTCGGAGGGCTTAAGTCCCATTCTTGCTTTGCACTCAGCTGTGCCGGGAACTCTGGCCACTTGGCCTTGCATGGATTGGTTTCATTGCATGGAAATGAAGTACTCTGCCTCAACCATCTCTCCAAATTGCAGGAAGAGGTCAATGAAACCGTGTTCACGTGAGCACTCTTCAAATCCCGGAGCTCTAAACAAATGCTGAGAGTTCGCATTTGAAGCAGTTGGGGCATGACAAATACTGAGCGTTTCTGTTCTGGCCTGACTCAGTCATGGATCCCCGGGTTGCTTTTGCACCTCCTGGGGTGTATAAGTAGAAGCCCGTGATCGCTTTAGGAGTGGAGGGTAATCTCAGCAAATATGGCTTGGTTACTGAAATCTTAAAAGCACCTCTTTGCCAAGGGATAAAGCAGTAACCTGGAAAAGTCAAAAGATTTTATCTAGAACTTGCATTCCAAAATGCTCGCTATATAATTATCTTAGTGAAAATGAGATCAAGTGAGCTTAGTAAGTTTTTAGAATAAATATTTTTAATTATAAGAAGACAAAATTTGGGGATATTCTCATTATTTTGTACACATAATTGCTCTTCTGGTGCCAACTTTAAAAATTAAATTATAAGTCTCTTGAAAACAGAATTTGTGTGGATGATGGAAATGCCGACAGATCTCTGTTTAGAAGGATGGCAGGCGCTGCGATAATTACGCTATCCTGTCCTATCATTAAAGATTCTATTGAAAGAGGTTTATAAATTGCTCCTCTTTTTAGATAAACCACCCTATATTAAGGCATCAACGATATGGTGCAGAATTAAATTAAAATCTCATAAAATGAAATATGTTCTGTATTAGCTGTTTGACACTTAATTTGCCTCTGAATGAGTAGAGGAAATCACAAATTAACCTGCCTTTGTTTTTCCAACCATGGCTTATTAGGTGTTGGAACAACTGCAATTATAGCCTAATAATAACCACCAAGCCTTATAAATATGTACGGAAATATGTCAGTTTGTGTTAAAGAACCCAGAGTGTTAAATGGAATGCCTTTAGCTCACTCTACTTGCTCTCACAGTGATGGCCACAATCGATGGTGAGTCAGCGTAGATAGGCTACAGAAACTTAAATTGTTTCAAATACAGTACTGGAAACAATATTAGAATTTATAGTATTTCCTTTCTTAACTTACAATCATGAATTTAGATTCAGGACTTATAAATGGGACGTGGAATACAGCTGTCATCTTTCCCTGAGTTGTCGCATAAAGATTCTCTATGAAACGTCCGATTCCTGCATTATGTTTATTTAATTCAAGCAGTTTGAAAATTAAGAAACACTGGATATGGGGAATTTTCCCTTTTCTTCTGAAAGTTATTCTTCGCTGAATTCACCAGAACTTATGCCCAATAGATAATTGGCGTGTCTCCCTCTCTCAAATCATTTGCTTTGACCACAAATTCCATGTTTTATTAAGCCATCTAGAAAAAAGCACAAGTTTTAGAAAAAAAAATCAGTGCGTACATTTTATTATATTACTGAGGTTATTTGGAGCATTAATGACGGAACCTGAATCTATATCCACATAGTCGAGGCTGTAATTTTATGTGTGTGTTTTAACTTCTTGGTCTTACCTGTATTTCATGCCTTGCATTGTTTACCTCAGGGCTGTAGCTTTGTGTGACTCCAGGAGGCATTATTGTATTCTTTGGGAATGGATGCTGCTCTCTAGGCTAAAAATTACTGCTTGTTTTGAAATTTTGCTTGAAAATTTAGACACTTGGAATATTACACCCCCCTCCTTCAGAATACAGTTGTATTTTTAAGTGATACTTTCACAATGATGAAGAAAGTACTCTTCCTCTTGCATTTTGAATGTGTGCTTTTTTTTTTTAAATTTAATGTTAGAACTCATTTAAGCATGCTTCGTTTTTAAAACTAGACATGGTGTATTCATAGAAAGCCAAATAATAAAGTTTTAAATTCCACAGTCATTCTGGATTTTCACTTGGGAAAAAATATCTTTTACATACAACTTTTTTAAGCTAAAGTTTTCTAATTTATGACCACTATGAATTGAATTTCAGATTGTCCATTTGCTGCATATAGGGCTCTGCAATTCATTTTCCAAAGCAGGATGCTTAATTACTAATCCATTACTCTAATTCAGGCCCCACAGATGTTCTTGCCAGTTGAGCCGAGAACTGCCCTTGTCCCATGCTGTGGATGTGAATGGGATGAACAGGACAGCATCCCGAGCCAGCACTCCTAGAGCCTGTCGCATTTCACCATCCACTTTATTAATTCATTTTAGAAGACCAGCCTCATCATTTCTCTCTTGGGGGAAATGAGCACTCGTGTTCTGTTCTATTCGGCAGTTCTTTTTTCTCTTAGTTCAGTCAGTGTGTCTCTTTCCAAGGCTGCCTGACTCACTGGAATTATTTCACCTAAGTGGGAAGAGCTGTTCTTCCCACTGAAAGTGGTCCACTTCCTGGCGCCTGCCGAGGGGAGTCACTGCATGGTAGATATTAACATGAGCTGTGAAAAAGAGTGCATTGGGAATAAGTCAGGCTTCGC